AGTAAGGATACTTCCGCCCGGTGACTTAGCACAATACCAACCCCTGCACATCCCACCGCAGCAGCCTCCGGATCACCAGAGGTGCGTAGCCGGAGTGGAGACTGACGGGGCGGTTAACTTAATCACTGTGCTTGCATCTTGAATTCTTGTTTCTGAGACACAGCACACATCAATGCCAAGCGAGTCCAGTGTGAGTGCAAGAGCAGCTTGTTGTCCTGCTTGCTTCAGAGTGCGAACATTGAAAGCGGCCAGATAGAGTGGGTGTCGAGGCTTGAGGACTGCTCTGGAGATTCCTGAAGATGTCGGCGCCATGTGACGAGCAGACGCTGCACGCAAAACCGATTCATGACGAACGGAGTCATCAGTCCTAAGTGCTGGGCCTACAAGGAGAGAGTTATTAATGGGGTGGGGAGAGGGGGAAGAAAAAGTATGTGAAGGAGAAAGAAGGGAGGCGTCAGCAGTAGCCTGTTTTCGCTTACCCGCCCTGCTGTATGCAGCAAGTAAGGCGACCCGGCTGATGGCACCACGCGACGGCCGATGTGGCATGAGTTTATTTGTGTATGTGCTATTCATTGTTGTACGTGGGCTGGGATACTGCCAGGGCGCCCACACCTAGACAGGAGGACGATTAGGGTCCTCATACGAAGCCTTTGGCTCAAAAGCCTAACCGCAAGGCAGCGGTGTTTGGCGGGGAATGCAAATACATTACCAGTTCTACGGAACAAGTCGCCACATGTTCCAACCCCCAACCTGGAGGGCCAGAGACTGTGTTCGTCAGACCTCTAACCATTGACCAACCTGGTATGAGAGACTCTGTGAGTGTCGCGGGACACTCTCCAGTATAGCTCAGTGGGTCGCTGAGGTGCGCAAACTGTCACACCACGGTAAGGTCCAGTCTCTTCGTGACGGGAGTACCTGAACAAATAGTGCTGAGTCTGGACAGTCGTTCGAGCAGTCCAGTCAACCGACTCGACTGTCCGGGTTCGTCCCGTGGTAACCAAAAGCATGGCGCATGGGACGTTTGAAATTCAAAGCCCGGCAAGATAAACTATATACACTTTTGATAAACTCAAATAAAGATGAATTTTTGGTCTAGTACCTTTATACTGTAAAGTATGAACTAACCAGTGTATTCTTGTGGGTACTTGAAGCTGGATATTTAGATGACAGTGGATGGAATACAAATTGGATAACGTTGCAACTCTTCAAAGCAGAAAAAGCAATGATATTCATTGGCATGCGATATATACTGTGGATTACTTCGTGTTGCTTTATCCCGTGTTTCGTCTTCATTACCTTCACTCCGAGTCGCAACGGCAACACGCTTCATCAGTGGTGATATCAGTGAAACCACGTCTAGTCTAGTCGAGAAGTTGTGGTCGCTGTACCTATGGTATCAGGCATCTAACGCGGCAGATGATTGCTTAGTATGAATTAGCGGTCCGGAGAGCTTCCCTTGTATGCTTCCTATTTGAGGGTAACCCTTTCACTTAGGCTACAAAGCGTACATCTTCTTCGGTTTTGGGAGGTGAATTCTTGCTCTCGATGGAACTGTGTAGTGGAAACATTCCACTGCGCCAAAATTGTTTTAGAGGGATTATCCTCCTGGGAAAAAAAGCGATTTTAAAAGTCCTTGGGATGGGTTCTCACATTGTGAAGCTCTTCTATGTACACTGTTGATGGGAATCGTTTTGGAGGATGGGGTCTGCGTGATGCCCTTGTGCATGGTTGGAGTCTTTATAGAATATGACTATGAATCAGCATCAGTGACGTCCCTGCTGCCTTTTCCCTCCCTGATGGTGTGAATGAGTGTCAGAGGGTATAGACACATCTCATTGATTCAACTGGGCCAGTACTAAGCCCCTTCCTCATCTATTGCTCTTTTTCTTCACAATAAGGCTGTCGTTTGGTTGTTAAACGACAGCGGAGCGTGAATGCTTAACACTGACGTTGTGCTGGCGATGCTAAAGATGAACTGAAGAGCTTATAGGAACCGAATTTTGAACGTTTATACAGCTCGTTATTGGTTTCTAGACTGAAATTGCGTAGTTCCTTTCCCAAAAACTTACGGTTTGGTCGAAACTTTGGCACTTCCATAGTCCAATTCTCGTATCATACTACCGGAACCATTTCCCAGAAATGCATTCGTATTGGCGATTGCAGCAACATCTTGCGTCTTGTAAGGTTTGGTCGAAACTTTGGCACTTCCAGAGTCCAATTCTCGTATCATACTACCAGAACCATTTCCTAGAAATGCATTCGCATTTGGCGATTGCAGCAACATCTTTCGCGTCCCTGAATTATCATGAGGTCAAACATGTATCTAATAGGCACTTTTCTGGCCACCACAATTTCAGCTCCGTCCAGGGATACACGGCGAGATCATCGCGCTGCTCATTCCCTTTCCTATCGAATGGATTATTCATGTACTGGAGGTCGCTCTGGTACCATACCTATTGTGGCTTCAAGTAAGCATTTAGTCTTCTATTGACTAATCGCTTGTCTTGATGAATATGTTCTGCTTTCTTAGTGTTCACAGTCTCCCAAATATGTCAGGTGTCCACAGATGCTCAGTGATTTCTTAGATTGTGACCTTCACCATCCACACGATCGTTTTGTTTAAGCATCTGATTAGCCTGGTAGATTAGCTCGAGATATTTTTAGTGGTTATGGCGTGAACTTAGTGATCGGAAAGTCCGTGGTTCGAATCCAACCACGGCATGTCGACTGCTCCTGTCGGAGTTTGGGCAACCCCGACAATATCTCAGCCCTCGTGCTTCCTTCGGGTGGCCATCCTGGAAGAAAGTCCGTGGTTCGAATCCAACCACGGCATGTCGACTGCTCCTGTCGGAGTTTGGGCAACCCCGACAATATCTCAGCCCTCGTGCTTCCTTCGGGTGGCATACCATCCTGGAACCAAAAGGGTGTTGAACGATTAGCATTCTTTTTGTTGTTAGCCTGGTATATGGTTTTGTGATTTTATCAAGCTCCTCTCCGTCAAGAAACGATCTTAACAGAGCAGTCTGAGTAGCGTGTTATCTGAGAGAGGCCAAAAAAGTCCCCGTATGATGCATGGGCTGTTTCTATCCACCGTTCAGCCTCGATGGCATTTTCCTTTGTGCGTTCATAACGTATTATCACAGAGAATAGTCGAAAAATTGTGAAGAACACATTGGGTCTTTTGACTGCAGCTTTACCGGCGCCTCAGAGTTTATGAAATAAATGGTTTGTATCCCCTACGGAAACCAAAAGAAAGAGGAAGGAAATTAAAAAAAACCGCTATTTGTTCTACGAGGCACAAGTGACTGACTTCATTTTCAGCCCTTACACACCACCAGTAGAATGGCCCCAGTTAGGGTTCGTCAGCCTGAACGATTGATGTGTTGCTTACATGCAGCCAACTGCTCAGCTCTGATGTGCTCTGTCCCAGCGATGGCAGTGACTCACCTCCATAAGTTGTCCTCACCCCCCGTAGCTCAACATAATCCCTCCACGTTCGCATTCATTCTATTGGTGACCATACATCTGTCTGCCTGTCTGGCGTTATTCCAGCCGTTTTAACACGGATGTGGCATCTATATTTTCAAACACACACAGCTTTGGACTTGGCTTTGCCACTCCGGGTGTATCCGTTTTTTCTGGTCTAGGAAGGACTCAGTTTGTGCTGAAACAGTTATGTCATCACTCTGATTCGTGGCATTATGTTGCCTTTCCAACACCATTGTCTTGTTTCGCTTGGCTTATCAGGGCTTGGTGCAGAATCTGCAGTTAGATCCACCCGACACGGTCACGTGATGTACCCAGGTAGATGTGTGACTCTGCATGTCCTGTTGGTTTGCTCACTAATGCTGCCTATCACCGCATAACCACCTATCCCTTTGCTGCCTCCAGTTGCCATAACTGCTTATAGTGGAGCGCTATTCCTGTGAAAACCACAGTTTCACTTCAAAACCACTCACCTGATTTTCGTATGTCTGCACTTCATTCTCTGCATGTACCTATCACATATGGCGAAATCCTTCGTGCAAAAACCGCAATCCCAAAACATGATCCAATCATGCCGTTGCTCACAACTGCGTTCGCGTTATCCTAACAATTCATGCGATGCCTGCCACACAGGAATTTTGAACTGTTCCTTAGGATAATCCTTCCCCCCATGTTATTATAGCCACTGAGTTCCTCCAACCCTATTCTGCCACGAATTTAGTCGCATGATATCCTGAAGTATTAGATGAGATAGTGTTAGGGAATACAAAATAAACCACGTTACCTATAAATCAACGCATTTTTTCACTGTAGCTCCTCGTCCAGGTTACACATCGGGTGCGCTATACGGTCGTGCAGTTAGCCTACCCCGTCCAGCTTTAGCCGGAGTGAACGGTGATCTTACAAATGCATCAGGGCCTTCTCAAAGCGTTCTACCAGGCGGGTCAGCTTTTCGAAGTTCCACACTGGCAGCGACCAAACACGATGCTCCACTTCACACGGAACGAACAGGTGGAAAACTGGTCTATGCAGGAGCTGGTTTACTGGGAAGTGGGGACCATACACTGACAACCGACGAGTCGCTGCACACCACTTTGGCTGGTTTTGAATCTCAGGCGGGTGTCACTGAGGCAGTGGGCTCTCGTAAGTTGCTTCCGATCCTAGCCTCGGAATCATACGAGGTCCCTTGTTCTCTTTGACGTTACTCATCCTGTTTTCTGTGTTCTTCGTTTCATTATCCTCAGTGACTGCATCCGCAATCTCAATGGATGGACTAACTGTCTGTTCTGGTGATGATGGTACCACATTGGCACCCAGCCGAAGTGCATACGTTATCAAGTCTGGCACACTTACTGGTTTGCCGCCGTCAGTGACCGGGTTGCGTCCAGTTAGTGCAATGTTAAAACAACAACAACAACAGTTTCTCAGTAGTCGCCCACGAAGCCGAACCCTTACTCCTGTACGACATGGTTTTGCTAGTGATTCAGACATGACTGATATCGATTCCTATCCGTCCGTTCAAAGTTGGCTTCGGCCTTCCTCCGCTCAGAAGAAAACGTCTTTCAAAGTGAGTGGTTCTGATACATCCTGTATATGCGACATGGAAAGTTAGGAAATATGAATTCCCACATGCATCAGGGTAGATTTAGTGATCTGGTTGAAGAGCAGAGTAACCTACATACGGGCACCAAATTTTTTTTATCTGAGCACACTTTTGGGCACATTTTAAGAAGATTCTCTCATCATCATCATCAGCTGTAAGAAACACAAACTTGTCGTACAGTAGTTGCAGCTGCCACAGTTTCGTTCACGATGATTTGGGGGGGGGGGGAGGTAGCTGCGCATTAGAGGCGGGGGTTGATAAATTGGTGCGTAATTACAGGACTGTCAGTGCAGTTTAACAGGTGGAATTGGGAAGGGAGCTATGCATTGCGGGCAATGGCTTGGATGCACGAGCGTCACTGAGGGTGCGATTAGGCCATGTATGACAATGTTTCTATTGATATAGCCCGTCTCCGAACCAATACGCCTTTCCTGTGGCGGACAACCAGTCATCCCATTCGAAGTACATTTGGCTAGCATATTGCCTGAGAAACAACTTGTAGTGCAACCTACTGATTGGATGTTTTGATCAATGTGCTCAGGATAGATATGTAACGAGTCTGACAGGTGTACGGTTCTCTCGTAGGTTTTAGTCTTGGCGTAGGTTTTGAGGTTTCACTTTAATGCTAACGGCCTACTAGAAACTGGAACGAAATCTACTCGACCGCTGGATGATCTTTGCTGCCTTGTAGGCCGTTCGCTGTTCACTCGTAGGTGTCTCCGTGGTTTGCTTGTAACATCCAGTAAACAGCCGGGTGATAAATATTATTACCTTTGAAAGAATGAGTCTGCCCACGATAGATAGGCTAGCCAAACTCAATGGGTTACGTTCTTGCAGTTGTGCACTGTCGGTAGGGGAACCGCGTATGCCTCAGAAAAATATCCCCTTCCGAACTAACCAGTAACTCCAGCTGCATTGGCAGCTGTCGTTTCCCGGAGCTGAGGGTCCAAAGTGGGACGCGCATGACCTCAGTGTTACTAACAGTGTTGCTCGCTCGTCATCAGAATCACTAAGTACGAAGTGGCGGCAGATTCCTAGAAGTTCAGAGGAAATCTCACATGCATGACAATGCACCTCAAAGATTCAGTAAGTGTCGTTTATGCTTCTTCAACCTGCCTCTGTTGTCTTCGTAAAATTAATTGGATTTGCGCTGCCAAACTTGTCATCAGGTGTTGTGCCTTATTAGCGATATTACAACCCCTGCGCCGTTCCTTGGTTTCCCGTTCCACCCAATGTGGTGTATGAAAATGCATGGCAGCTTAAGACAGTCTTTTGTTTATAAAAAAATTGCCACTGTATTTATGGAATCATCATGGAATTTTCCATATGGTTGAGTTAGAATCTTGTGATGGAGCGAGAAGGGCGGGGCTAAATGTCCTTGATTTTGATTAGCTCACGTTCTGGCCTATCAATCATCCTTCGTACGGTTCGTAGCTGTCTCACGGCGCATCTGTCCAGTCGATGTGATGTTCGCTTAAACAGAGCTGCTTGCGTCCGTACAAAATCGCAATAGAGTCATTGTGTGTGACCTCACACTGGTAGCAAGTGGTGTAAGATAGAATATCAGTGGCGGGACAAGGAAACAAATTCAGTGATGTATTCTTCCGGCCTAGTATAGTACATGTAGAGCAAAATGCTCGAAAAGTGAAATCCGTGGATCAAAACGATCGGATGTAGTAAAATAAGGAATCCGCTCCAAATTGTGAAAGGTGTCGTAACATCAATCACCAGCTCTTTTCGAAGGGGGTCTGAAAGCAAATAACGTTCGCTTCGGCACTGTGGTGTGCGGCCTTGTAAAATGATTTCAGTGGTTCTCATGATTGGTGTTGTCCGGCAAATGTCTGTTATTGAAGTCATCATCATCAACTATAGGTGCCGCGTACCTATCGTGCAGTTGTTGTAGTTGTCACAGTTTCGTTCACCGATGATTTGGGGAGGTGGGCCAGATAGCTGCTTATTGGAGGCGGTAGCTGATATGATTGATACATAAATACAGGGTTCTCAGTGAACTTTTCACTTGGGAGATTGGGAGGTTAGCTAGGCATTGAAGGCTTGGATGCAAGAGCGCCATCGAGGGCGCAACTGGGTCATTTGTGACAATGTCTCAAGCCGTGGGTCCCCTCGCACGAGTAGACTTGCCGTTGTTACGAGTACGCGACAAGTCCGCTCGTGTGACTTTATCGATCAGAATTACATTTCCGTTCACTCACCACTCCTGCTAGGTTCTACTGATTACCATAGTATTATGTTTCTCTCACAGCCTTTAATCTTCATTAAAAGAGCTATCCTCTCAGTTTTCGGGTTGCATTTCGTCACCTTTTAATGTAGATTATTTGGTCGAACTAAGTGATTGACAATCGGCCTGACACGGTGTACTATCTCCCTCCCTCCGGCTTGTTTTTTGTTTTGCGTTTGCGATTGATGTAAACGCGTCAATTGTTTTTTTCCATCTTCTGGGTTCCTCGTTGAACTAGAATTTGTACAGCCAAAAGGTGATAGTCCTTGTGAGTGTTATCTATCTCTCGGCTTCTCCCACAAGATTTAGATGACCATTGAGGGACTGAGCCGATAAAACGTTTACTTGTTGTGTTCTCCATTCCACTCTCGTTGAGTGTCCTATTGGTAGCAATTCATGAAGTATTTTCGCGTTGACGATTCATGCTTTGAGTAGAATCAACCCATCACTCATCTCGTCGCTCCTCGTTTATGCTCTCGCGTTTGTTGTCAGTGCAGTTTTAAATAGGGAAATACGAAAACTGAATCGTGGCTAAGGCGTGCTAGCACGCTGGAGTACTATATACTCAGCTGACCCTCATGTGGTGTGTGAACAGCGGAATCGTCATTGCCCCGTGATGCGTGGTGTAATTCATTTGAGTGGTTCCTATTTAAATAGATCCTTTAACCAAACAGGTGGAATTCGAAAGAATTTCATCAACCCGCGGTCTCCATATGCCCTCTGATCAGAAGATCCTACAAGTTTGAAAGAAGCGCTATTCCCGCACTTGGATCGGAGAACAGCTCGTTATCCGTCTCCTTCGTCATTGCCCCGTGATGCGTGGTGTAATTTGTTTGAGTGGTTCCTACAAGTTTGAAAGAAGCGCTATTTCCGCACTTGGATCGGAGCACAGCTCGTTATCCGTCTCCTAACTCCTAACTCTCTGGATTACTGCAATCGGTTGCCGATCAGCATATGAGTTGGTTGAGCGGGCGATCGTTGAGATTTCGATAGAACAAAATTTGTATTGCCAGTAGCGTTGCGCATGCCGCAGTGGCCCTGGAAATCTGAAGCATGCAAAGTATTGCGAATTACCAGACTGGTTGCGTGATCTCATCAGCTGACATTGTGCGATATGTATGTCGATTGTACTCGTTGAGTTGAGTGATGTGCTCGGTGGGCATGTCTGTGTAATCGGGGTTTTATTGCTCGGCTTTTGTAGCCAAATAACAACAAGACTTTTACACGGAAATCAGTACTATTTTGATAATTTTACTACTATTTCACTATTTCACTACTAGTTCACTATAATTTTCCGGAGAAGATGACTAGACAATCAGCTGAACGTGGCTTCCTTGTTCACAGTTTTACTCTTTTCATGGTCTTGACGAAATCTGCCGAGTTTTCGAGCTTAATTGTTTTGAATTCGTTTGATGGTTCTACTCATTAATTGCCTTCGAATAACTCTAAATATAAAACTTATGATTGTTTTGTGTGTTTTATGTGCTTCCTCCACTTCCCAGATTTGCCCCTATGAACAATTGCGAGTCTCGGCCCAGCGCCCACTCAAGGGTTTAGATCGCACCCGTCTCGAGGTAAGCTATTGGCTCCCTCTGATTCGCACTAATGCACGATATTATTACCACCCATCTGGTCATTGCATAAAACATTAGTTTAATACTTAATTTACTGAGACTAATTCCTGTGGTTGTGCAGGCTGGTTCTGTCGACGCTTCGAGTGATGTGAGATATCCATCGAGCTCCCTGAGTATGTGGTACAAGTTTTGTCCCAAGTCCCACTCGCCTGTTTGTTTGAAGATACACTTCAGTCTCGAGAGCTTAGTGCCAACCAGAAATATTTTAATCCGACGTCAGCATACGATTAAGTATGGGTTCTTATCTATCCATCACCCAGACATGCCGCAGTGGCCCTGGAAATCTGAAGCATGCAAAGTATTGCGAATTACCAGACTGGTTGCGTGATCTCATCAGCTGACATTGTGCGATATGTATGTCGATTGTACTCGTTGAGTTGAGTGATGTGCTCGGTGGGCATGTCTGTGTAATCGGGGTTTTATTGCTCGGCTTTTGTAGCCAAATAACAACAAGACTTTTACACGGAAATCAGTACTATTTTGATAATTTTACTACTATTTCACTATTTCATTACTAGTTCACTATAATTTTCCGGAGAAGATGACTAGACAATCAGCTGAACGTGGCTTCCTTGTTCACAGTTTTACTCTTTTCATGGTCTTGACGAAATCTGCCGAGTTTTCGAGCTTAGTTGTTTTGAATTCGTTTGATGGTTCTACTCATTAATTGCCTTCGAATAACTCTAAATATAAAACTTATGATTGTTTTGTGTGTTTTATGTGCTTCCTCCACTTCCCAGATTTGCCCCTATGAACAATTGCGAGTCTCGGCCCAGCGCCCACTCAAGGGTTTAGATCGCACCCGTCTCGAGGTAAGCTATTGGCTCCCTCTGATTCGCACTAATGCACGATATTATTACCACCCATCTGGTCATTGCATAAAACATTAGTTTAATACTTAATTTACTGAGACTAATTCCTGTGGTTGTGCAGGCTGGTTCTGTCGACGCTTCGAGTGATGTGAGATATCCATCGAGCTCCCTGAGTATGTGGTACAAGTTTTGTCCCAAGTCCCACTCGCCTGTTTGTTTGAAGATACACTTCAGTCTCGAGAGCTTAGTGCCAACCAGAAATATTTTAATCCGACGTCAGCATACGATTAAGTATGGGTTCTTATCTATCCATCACCCAGAACCACGCACCGACGCACACAGTTTTTTTTGTTTTGATGACCCTTTACGGATCTGATCAGGCGTTAACGTGTCTAGTTCACCATTACAGTGTGCGTGATCCTTCTCCTGTGATCACGAGGTGCCACATTTATACCGCTGTTTCATTCGAAGCACCTACTAGAAAATAGCCGTTGAATGGACGTTTCAGCTGGACTAGGCACTGTGTTTGCGAACTGAAACACTTGAAAGCGGTATCATCGCAATCATGAGAGGAGAAGATATACATGCATGACCTTAGACCTTCTGAAACGTAAAGAATACGCTCGTGAATTGTGGATGTTAGAAACTTGGCACGTAAACGACAAAAAGAGCTTTGTAGTCCAATGGCTGTTTACCTACGGTTAACCAAACCAACACACTATCTGACCACCTGCTATTCAATCTTTTGAGGGGGAATCTCACTTTCTAACTTTCCGGCCATTGATCTATTATCAAAGTGTTCGAATTTCTCCCTTTTTCCCCCGAATCCCCACCCATCCCTGTCAATCTCACTTTAGTGCGACCTTCTTTGTTTCGAACACACTTAACTACGGTTCCCTGTGGAGGCCAGCACACATTCCTGTTTGATAGGCACAAGGAGTGCGGCAACAAGACCTGTTCGCCTCACATCTATGCGACCACCTGTAATTCACATAGTTTGAGTTTTTATTTTTCATGTACATGTGTTGCTTCCGATTTTGATTTGTTCATCGAACTCGAAGAGCATCAGCAACCGAGGCGCAATATCTAGTCCATGTACTTCCACCCCGGAGAACGGAATTTAGCCAGTCCCACATTTGACTGAGTGGTTGCGCGCCGACTTGGTAATCACGTTTGTGGACCTTCCATCGGTATGGGAATATTGCCTTTAGCGTCTTGATTTCATGTGTGCCGTTAGTGGAGATTCTTGTCAAATGGTGAACTCTGGAAGGTTGGCCTGTCTGTCACATCGAATTTAGTGGTTTCTCGGAAGTTCATATGCATGCAACCCACCAGACAGAAAGTTAACCTCTCAAAATACCTTAAAAATCAGGACCGGGATATTGACCGTCCACGATCGCTTATCACTATCATGAATGTCCTACAGACCTCATCTCACATTTATGCCCATCCTTCCCTCTTTCTTCTCACACAGAATTACTTGAGCTCCACGGAATTCGAGGCCTTGTTCGGAATGCCAATGCACGCATTCCAACGTCTTCCAGAATGGAAACGAAATGATTTGAAACGAAAAGTCGATCTCATCTGAAACCTTTCGGTTCCCCACACAGCAACATGGCAATTAACTGCTTTCCGTTTTCCGACTCCTCCCTTCTCCATATGTCGGACTTTCTCAGTAGCTAGATCACTCCGCTTATCTGTCGGTTCAGTAGCATTCTCATCGAACTCGGTCCCTCGTTCTTTTCATTTGCCATGTTGGTTCGTCCTTCGTAAACACGCAATTGAAGCAACGGCCCATCTGCTGCACCTGTTGAGCGTGCTAGCCATCGATAAATTGGAAGCTGAAACCTTTCGGTTCCCCACACAGCAACATGGCAATTAACTGCTTTCCGTTTTCCGACTCCTCCCTTCTCCATATGTCGGACTTTCTCAGTAGCTAGATCACTCCGCTTATCTGTCGGTTCAGTAGCATTCTCATCGAACTCGGTCCCTCGTTCTTTTCATTTGCCATGTTGGTTCGTCCTTCGTAAACACGCAATTGAAGCAACGGCCCATCTGCTGCACCTGTTGAGCGTGCTAGCCATCGATAAATTGGAAGCAAAACCTTTGCCTTCCTTGATTTTTTTTTTGAAATTTTATCATCGATGACCATGTTAGAGCTGATTTATACATGAGTATATTTTTTTCAACGTTTAGATGTGATTCAGCCTCAACACTCACCCCTCCTCACACACTCGCTCGCTCATTGCCGTCATTGTTCCGCTCATCTGCGCTGGACTTCTCGCCACAGTTGTTTTCCACCTCTTTGACTTATTCTCCACCTATAAATTCTCGTTTCCTTCGTACTTCTATCCAAGTACGAATGGGGTTTATGTTCCAGCCATTGATTTCTCCCATTATTCTCATCTTTAGCATTTGATCCTAATTTTATCTCCCTCTCCTTGCGGTCTGCATAAAACAGGAACACTCAAAACGTTAGTTTGTCCCGGATAATGCCGTATTTCCGAAAGCTACTCAAAGTTAGCATGCTGTGAATTTATGGTTTCTTTCAACTTACTTTATAGTATTTCCGCCTGTTCATTCTAGAAATTTCTAGGCCTTCTTCCGCGTTCTGGTGGTGTTTTCAACCTGTCGATCATCCGATCTGATGACACATTATCTTCTACTGTTTGATTTGGACGATCAACCGTTTCATTTTGTTCGCCGATCAGGCCCATATGTATACAGTGCAAGAGGTGGCTACAAATACGAAACTGTGTCCGCTACTCAATTATTCGTCATGCATTTACCGCGCCAATGTTAGAGCATATATGCTTGTCAAATCGAAACATTTCCCATGCGTTTATTTTGTCTTCTGTTCTGGCAACGAACCCATACTTTCAAAAAAGGGCATCCAAACGAGACTCGCTTGTGGCCACATATCTGGGTTTATCGTTTTGACGAATGGACATGTTGCTAAACAGTCTGTTCTCTTGTGTTGTCTGTTTCTCACTGGAGCACATACATGCATATGATTCTACTTTTGATGTGTATCAGCTGGGAAGCAGTTCGAACCCAACAACCGAGCTTTCAGTGATCAGTCCAACGTGAGTTGTTTCATCACCCGGGTTGCCTGCTATGATCGTTCTTCGATTTCGCATATAAAACCCATCTCCTAAAGAGAGATAACTTAAGAAGACCAAACCGTTCATCTGGCTTGGGCAAACTCTCGATTGCTCCTGTCAAATTTTTCGTGCCAACTATCAAACGAGTTCCTCCGTTTATGACGGCAGCATCCAAATCGAGTTCCTCCACCTAAAGTTACTGAGTAAAGAAATCTTCTTTAAAACTTAAATAACGTTTTGTTTCATAGACAAGCATTGAGTTTTGCCTCCGTTCACGGCGTTTGCCTTCCCCTTGAGGCAACTGGTTTCCCAAGCGGTCGTAGTCCCGCTCCTGATTTGCGGCCAACTTCCAGGCAGTGACTGACGGATAATGCTGTTGCGGCACGTTCTCTCTTTTTGGCTTAACTTACGTATCGCTACTTTGTCTCAGTAAGGTGTAACAGGGCCCCGTGCAGAGAAGCAGGTGAACTAGGGAACAAGGCAGCATCAACGCCGTCATACAGACACGATTGGACGAAACTACATTTTCTCGACCCAGTACGGAAGACCAAACCATCCGCGTACGTGCCAAAAACCGGAAATTACTTCCGGAACTGGTGGACCAAATAAGCTTGAGCTGAGTCTGCAGGCGTTGTTGCTGTTGGTCAACTGCCATTTGTTTGTATTCTACACCAATGTAATCATTTCAGTCTGTTGACCATTTTGTCTAAAGTCAAGTCTTTGTAAACCTAAAATGTGCAGGTGTTATCTCTAGTTATAAACACTGCGTCCAGAGGGCTGGTGAAATATGTCCCAGTTGGTTGAACGAGCAGTTTCTTAGCGCTGGGTTTATAATGGACATAACTGGAAATGGGGCAAACCGAAGTCGTCGAATAAGCAGTTGACAAACACCTACATAGGTGTGCTCAGATTGCGATCCCGGTCAATAACTGCAATCTGCATTAACAGATATCCCAGATGTATTTGAGTCACAGCGATTAGTCCCTATTGTGTGGTTAACTCGTCGATCAGGCACAGTGCAACATTGGCCACAATCAATCTGTTTCTAGAAGATTTGGCAGATGCCTGACTAACTTTCACGGCCGACGCCGCATCGTACGATCTACGCCGTTTGAGGGCATTAGGAAGTTCGGCTGTCAAGTAATTCTTGCAGTTTCTAACTGGTAGTCGGGTTTATATTGTTTTGTGATTTCTTGTAGAGAACGAATAGAACCTACTTGTGAATTAGCTATTTTGTGTTTGTGCTTTACAATGGCATGTGGTTATGGACCATCTAAGCAGTTCTTTCGGTCAAGAAACGTAGACGTAAAGCGCACATTACTTATGGTTTACCCTTAATGACAGAATAGGTTGTCTCCCTCCTAATGAGGCCGCCCCTCACATACACCAGTTTTAATCTGTCCAGTCATGTGTCATGAACGTACAGCTAAATTTCACACAGGTTTGACACTGTTTCCGTGAAGAGAACTCTGAAATATCCTACGATAACGTACTCTCACACTCTCATGATATCACACGAAAGCTGACTAACAATATGCAAGTTAGTCATATTTCATGCATATGAATTATTCGCATGCCCTGCTTTGCGCAGAATTTATTGCCTTCCTGTGTGGTTACTCGCGGTCGATCACGTGGATGATAATCATATCCTCAACGGACTTGCGCTACAGGAGATGAAATATGACACCAGAGGTTATGTGCTGTTCGCTTATTGTCTTTGATTAGACGGAACCAGAAAACGCTGCTTCAAGTTGGCATGAAGTGCTTGTTAAGTGATAGGAACAGACAAATGCATTGTTGATGGATTATTTCCAATCCCTCGTCTCGTGAATAATATATTAGATCTCTCTTCTGCATGTTTGTATCGGCCGAGACTCCTTTTCTTGATGGATATGTGACATTTAGGCGATGTGTGTGTCTCAACCCCGTATATGTTTTCTGGAACCTCGTTTTTTTTGGATTTCGGAATTCGGATATGGTGAACTTTAAGTCCAGCTGGGCTGCGTTCTAAATCTTACGTATTTATTCTGCAACTTAGCTGTTCACGTATAATGTTGAATGACATTTTGAGTCTGTGGACTATTACAACGCACCATATTTCTCGGCAAGCTATGGAAGCTAATGATACGTTCAAAATCCCACACTTCTTTTGAGGAAAGAGGTTATAACCTCGCGCCAAAAGTCAAGGGTTCCGCTTTGAAAATGCCTCATGGACGATCGGATTTTCGACAATACAAGAAATACCTCTCCCTCAACATGGCTTGAAGCATCTCTGCGCGCTGAATATCACTCTACATTTTGAACGGATTGCTATGCTGTGCAACTTAGGCTCGCCATAAAAGACGAGAGGACATAAGTTTCAGGCCGATAATATTTCTAGAAGTTTCTTGACTAGCAGATCCAAGTCATCATCATCATTGTCAGCTGTAATAACCGCGTACTCGTCGTACAGTGGTTGTAGCTGGCGCAGTTTCGTTCACCGATGATTTGAGGGGTTAGGTAGCTGCGCATTGCAGGCGGGAGCTGATAAATTGGTGCATATATCCAGCAGTCAGTGGGCTGTTGGAAAAGGAGCTATGAATTGAAGGCAATAGCTTGGATGCACGAGCGCCATTGAGGGCGCGATTAGGCCATATCTGACAATGTCTCTAGCCATTGATGTGGCCCGTCTCGGGGTTCCAATCCAGGAAGACGGCAGTGACCAGCGCAGCTGAGTTTGTTGGTCACGGCTTTCATACTTCGCTGCCAAGTCCTTGTTTGACCGCCTCTGGCTCTCTTCCACCCTTCACTTGGTTGTGCGAAAAGAGCCCTTCAAGGAAGCCGGTCGATTGTCATACACAGCACGTTACCAAGCCAGCGCAACCTATGCAATGTGATCAGTTCACTATCGAGGGTGAGCAGATCCAACCACCGTCAAGTTGCTGGCTTTGTGCTTGTTCTGTTGCTTCAAGTGGGAAGTCCACTTAAAATCGTGAGCAAGAGAATATGAAGTTTTGGCCAATCATACAGCTCCAGTACGTAAGTTAGAGCAAACATCATCGGTTGATAAGGCATCCGGTCCCGTAAACAGCTGGTCACTTCTTATCCGTCCGTGACGCCCCTTGGCACTCAAGCTATGTATGCCCTGATTTATCATATCAGTGTATACCGCATCATTTCCACTCGCTAAGAATAGTCGTTCGTGTGCTGTGATTATATCCATACAGACAAACCGAACCAAACACCGACCTTACGCGTAACGGTGACTAGTAGACCCGGAAGTGCCTTTTCTTCCACCCTTTCATAGATGGATTTTAGCGATCGTTGCGTCTTCTCAAACACTTTATGTCTCGCCAGAAATCACGTTCACGATTTTAAATGCGTGGGTTGAGTCGTACATTTACATATCGGAATTCCTAATGAATTGATTGCGCGAAAGAGCTAATTTCGCGTCAGTTGCAAATCCAGTGGTGATGCGTCAAATTAAAAGTCAACCCGATGAGGTAATTTGTCTTCTTTTTGCTGTCTAGAAACTGCGTTTCTCAAGGCTTTAATTACCAATCTCACATTTGATAGCAGAAACTGTCCCCGGGGATCAGACTTAAGACAGGGGGACTCGCAATGTAAGGTGCCACTCACGTAGACATACCGACCACAGTTCAACTGGTACTCAGAAATAAGATGTTTTTTAAACTTCAACAAGACATTTCAGATGGATGAGGAAACTCTGGGAACCGCAAAACCTCATCAGCATGTTAACGGTCCAAACGGAAGTAGGTTCTAATGGTGTCGAACCCCGACGTGTGTACTGTTCATTACTGGCTTATCAGGTTCCTACATCTGTGTTTCAACCTCCGCTCGCCATCACACAACGGCAAAGGGAAAGTTTCAAGACCGTTTGGCTAAGTTAGTTTGTTTTCAGAGAATTCACTTTGTTTGAGTAACGCATTGTACTTGAGAAGAATAGCCAGTAGATAATCGACTCAATCACATTGATGCAGACACCTGATTCAGCCAAGAACAAGCGCGTATTCACCACTAAATGCATTGACCGTCTGTGTGTGTTTTCCAGATGACTAGAAATCCACAGTCAGCCAGCTGGGCGAATCTTGCTTGATTGGAGGCAAAAGAGAAAGCAGACACTTAGCCATAATAGCCACATTTTTCTTCCGAAATGTAAAGACCGATTAATCTGCGAAGGTCAAAAGTACAAGTCTTACTCAGTAATATTTCCAATTCTAATCAGCTGTTTGGTGCTAGACTGCAGATTTTCCGCAAATGTTTTCGGTCCCACCTCACTCACTTGATCTGGTGCTGATAGAACACCATCATCGGCGGTGCGCACGAAGCATAAATATGGTGCTGATTACACCGACGTCCATTGTCATCCTGGACAGCACGCCTTCGTGTACGTGCCCCACTTTAATTATTGGGGAAATAAGCAACAAATCTATCTGCTCCACAGACCACGCGATACTGATGAAAAACAAAGATGACCCTGTCTTTCGGTATGGTTATTTTAGGCTACTCTGGGCATACCTTCCCCGAAAACCGACGTGATTATGCGTATTTTTCCTATAGGGAATTCGCTGCAGGCGATCATATTGATTGCTGATGGGTGATATTGCTATGGAGCTGTCAAGTTGTTCCACGTTTGTGTATCATTCCATTCCATTCTAATTCGAAAGTTGACTAAATTCCGTCGACGATGACTTCGGAGAGAACATATTGAGCTATCGGTATGAAATTTTAACCCCTACTGACTATTCAAGACATCCCATGCTGTACTACTGAAATATTCCTGTTCGTCTATGGGTCGCACTGTATAGGACTATATAAGAGACACATTCGGTCATGACTTGTGACTCACAAATCAATGTAGCATGGATAACTAGCGTGAGAGGTGGATGAAAAAAGGATAAGTGATTGATGATTTGTAGCTGAAACCCGCTTATCAGGCATAATTTGTTTGTGAAAAGTAGTGTGATTT